ATCACTCACTTAAGGTTACTATGCTTACTAATACCAGGTCCCAGTGATTGTAGTCATATTGAGGTAAATACAATTCGGTACAGACAAGTCAAGGAAAAACTAAAAGAATGGCATGTTACTGCAGAAAGATCCCAGAATGATACAGCAAATGTGCAAAAGTCCTCAACAATGCTAGGAAGAAACACATATTTCATGCAAGGAAACAAGATTCATGAAAACATGATACACCATAGTGTGTAAATTGGTATTGAAGTATTAAGTTGTAGTCAGTGTCTGGCATAAACTCCCACCTATTAACCTCATTAAATGGGACCCCAAGTAAATAGGCATAATCCCTAGAAAGTGGCTGTAAGAGATGCAGATTAAGTATCTGTGCCCATGCTCTGCTTTAGAATTTTTTTAAGATTTTATTTATTTATTTTGGAGAGAGAGAGAGAGAGAGCATGAGCAGGAGGAGGGGCAGAGGGAGAGAGAAAATCCCAAGGAAACTCCACAGAGTGTGGAGCCCAACACAGGGCTTGATCCCAGGACCCTGAGATCATGACCTATGCTGAAACTGAGAATTGGTTGCTGAACCGACTGAGCTACCCGGTTGTCCCTCAGCTTTAAAATTTGACTCCAATTTTCAGCTAAGGCTTATGAATCTATTCAGCTAAGATTTATGAGTCAGAATTATACTCTGAAATGTCAGTAGATGAGTTTCTCCTGCATTCTTTCTCTTTTTATTTTTTATTTTATTTTATTGTGGTAAAAACTCTCAACATGAAGATCTACTCCCGTCACAATCCCCTGGACTATCAGTACAATGTTGTATAGCAGATCTCTAGAGTTTATGTATCTTCCGTAAATAAAATTTTATACCTATGGATTGGTAATTCCTTATTTCTCCCTTCTCCCATCCCCCAACAACCAACATTCCATTCTTTGTTTCTACGAATTTTACTATCTTAGATGCCTCATATAAGTGAAATCATAAAGTGTGTCTTTCTATGACTAGCTTATTCCATCCATACTGTCACATATGACAGAATTTTTTTTCTTTTTTAAGGGTAAATAATACCCCATTGTATGTAGACACTACATTTTCTTTATCAATTCATTTGCTGAAGGACATTTAAGTTTTTTCCACATCGTGGCTATTGTGAATAGTGCTGCAGTGAACATGGGAGTACTAATACTGCTTCAAGATCCTGATTCCAAGTCTTTTGGATAAATACACAGGAGTGGGATAGCTGGATGATACTGTAGTTCTATTTTAATTTTTGAGGAACCTCCACGCTGTTTTGCATAGTGGCTGTACCAATTTACATTCCCACCAACAGTGCACAAGTGTTCCAACTTCTCCTCATGCTTGTCAATACTTGTTGTTGTTGTTTTTTTATAATAACCATCCTGACAGGTCTGAGGAGATACTCATTGTAGCTTTAATTTGCATTTCCCTGATGGTTAATGATGTTGAGAATTTTTCATGTAATGTTGATCATTTGTACATATCCTTGGGGGAAATGTCTATTCAAATCTCTTGACTATATTTTTAATTGAGTCACAGTTTTTGTTTGGGGGTCTATTTTCTTTGATACTGAGTGATAGAAGTTCCTTATACATTTTGGATACTAACACCTTAACAGACCCATGGTTTGCAAATATTTTCTCCCACTTCATAGGCTGGCTATTCACTCTGTTAATTTTTTCTTTTGTTGGATGGAAGTTTTTTTATTTTGACTTAGTCCCACTTGTTTATTTTTGTTTTTGTTGCCTGTGTCTTTTGGTGTCATTTCCAAGAAATTGTTAGGAAGTTTTCCAGTATGTACTCTTCTAGGAGTTTTACAGTTTCATGTCTTACATACCTGCACTTTTCCTTTAATGATGACTCTCCCATTTAAACCACAAAGCTAAAGTCCCCACTGACCATGGAGGGTATGTCATAAAGGAACATAAGAGAAGAGAGAACAAGGATGGCAAATTCTAGATCTTTACACCTACCAGGTATCACATAGAAAATTCAAGGATGAATTCTCATAGATCCAAATTGTGGAGAAAATTATCTTGCTGACCCACATTAAATAAAAGCCCCATAAAAATCCCTGGAGTTTGAGAGGATAGGGATGTCATAGTTCATAGAAATGGTATGTAGGAATGGGGAAGGCTTAGAAATAAGAGCAGTATGAGGACATACTCTTATGAGATTTATGCAGATCTTGCCCCGTGTCCCCACCCCAAGGTGAGCTCTGAGGCATAAGAGAATTAAAGTACCCCCCCCAAGGTTTTTGAGATTCATGAATAAAGGGTACTTAAGCCTAGTTTTCCATTTGGTTGCCCTGGAAGCTGGCCAAGTATTACAGATGGTGTCCAGGACACTCTGGCCTCGAAGTTGTGCAGAGGAGCCATATGAAGTGCTCTGGAAGATGGCCAGCTTGACAGGACATGGAAGCAGCCAAACACTTTCCCAAGGCACCCAGAGTCAAGTGGATGCAGCTCTCAATGAAACTGGACCAATAAGCTAAGAAGGCACCACAGAAATAGCAAGAGATTAGATGCTACATTAATTCCCTAGAGCTAATATAACAAAGTTCTACAAGCTAGTGGCTTAAGACAACAGAATTTTATTGTTTCAAATTTCTGGAGACTTGATCAAGGTGTCACAGGGTTATGAAAGACTCTAGGAAAGAACCTGTTCCATGCCTTTCCCTCAGTTTTGGTGTCGTCAGCAATCCTTGGCATTCCTTGTCTTACAGTTGCATAACTTCAGTCTTTGCCTGCATTGACACAGCCTTCTCCTCCCCTGTCTACACATTGTGTGCCTATAAGAAGACACCAGTCATATTAAACCAGGGGTCCACCCTACTTCTACAAGACCCATCCTAACTAACTACAGCTGCACTTTATTTCTAAGTAAGGTCACACTCTGGGGTAATAGAGGTTAGAACTTCAACATATCTTTTTTGGGAAACATCCTTTAACCCATAACACATGCTCCAGAAGAAAAGGTGTGAAAAGGTGTGGCCATGTCCAAGACCAGAGAGGATTGCAGTGTCTTCCACATACTCATGTAGAAGAAAAATGACCCCGAACCAGATCTTCTTCTCAACTCCCATGCTCCAAAGCCCCTAGAACTTAGATCAATCTTGGAAAAAGAGAGAAGTTAGAGAGGAAAATCCTGAATTAAATGAGTTTAAAACAGAGATGCCTGGGTTTATCATAAATTGATTAAGACTTTTATTGTTGCAATCAGGCTATACGAGGACTCCAAAGATGAAACTAAATGGAGGTAATAAAAAATATATGTCATATTTCTGGTACACCTGAAAATAAATATCTTAACAGCTATAAATCTATCTACTCTGTAACAATCCTTGATGGAGGAGAGCTGTTAGTCTTCTTTACTGAACTTTATAAAGGCCACAAAGGGATTAATTAAGAATAGCTAATGTAATGAAAACTACATACAAACAATTTACTTAAACAAACTACAAATAACAAGGTAGTTCTTATATTATTTTTTAATTTCAATTCATTAAAGAATTTATGGCCTTCAGTACCTAGCGTGACTGAGAAAACTTCTCTGCTCCTTTGCTATCATTGTTCAGTTTATGCTTCATCAGTTTTCTCAGTATCCCCCAAAGTTCACTTTCCTTTTTTTAAGATTTTATTTATTTATTTATTTATTTATTTAGAGAGACAGCATACAAGTGAGGGGAGGGACAACAGGAGAGGGAGAGAATGGCCAGCATACTCCCACCTGAGGGCAAGCCCATCATGGGGTACCACCGAAGGACCCTGAGATCATGACCTGAGCCAAAGTCAATAGTCAGACACTCAACAGACTGAACCACCAAGGTGGCCCCCAAAGTTCACTTTCAACAACAATATACACCATCAAGAATCTATTTTAAAATTGTATACTTTTATTTTTTATTAAAGAAAAGTATTCTGGGGCGCCTGGGTGGCTCAGTGGGTTAAAGCCTCTGCCTTCAGCTCAGGTCATGATCTCAGGGTCCTGGGATCGAGTCCCGCATCGGGCTCTCTGCTCAGCAGGGAGCCTGCTTCCTCTTCTCTCTCTCTGCCTGCCTCTCTGCCTACTTGGGATCTCTGTCTGTCAAATAAATAAATAAAATCTTAAAAAAAAAAAAAAAAAAAGAAAAGTATTCTTAGCAAACTTTCGACGCAAATATTTGTCTTCCAATATGCTCTTCAAAATCCTTGCCACAAGCTCCTATGAATGTGCTGGCAGCATAAATCTCTGCTCAGTACACACCGATCTATCCTTCCAGCTGACCGGCCCAGAATATAGGGGTTAGACATGACTTTACATACCGGTGCTCTTCAATTGAATGTCATCTCTGCCACTTACTAGCTGTGTGACCTTAAACACCATTTTAAGCCTTTCTCTGCCTCTGTTTCCCTACCCATAAAATTGTGTCTAGCCCATAAGGTTGTTGTGTGAGTTAAAGGGATCTGTTAATATGTACAAAATACTTTGTCAGAGTCAATTTAGATAGTAAGCACTCAGTGCTTAATATTATTAAACATATAAAGAGTTCTTTCGAGTCAATAAGAAAAAGGCAATTTAAAATGGGTCAAAGATTAGAGTAGGCAAACCACAAAAGAAGAAATGCAAATATCAGTAAACAATGAAAATATAGGACCTCAACTGGCAAACAGGGAAATGCAAATTAAAAGAAGATACTCCTTGCCTATTGGATGACCGTGTTAAGAGTTTGATAACAATCAAAGTTAATAAACACCTAGAGAAACTGGTGCTTTCATTTATTATTGGTGGAAGTGTGCACTTTGATAATATTTCAGAAATTAAAAGAGTAATATTACTTTTTCTAATATGCATACTGCTTGAAAAAGTATTTTAATTTCTGGGATTCTAACCAACAGGGGAAAAAAAATAAGTAAAAGAAAAATCAGCAGTGTCTAATACTCTCAAAGTCTTACCCAAAATACTTTCAAAGTCTTACCCAAAAATACATCTAAAAGGTTGCTAATACTGCTTGCTTCAGCAGCACATACACTAAAATTGGAACAATACAGAGAAGATTAGCATGGGCCCTGCGCAAGGATGACATGCAAATTCGAGAAGTGTTCCATATTTAAATAAGTAAATAAATAGGGGCGCCTGGTTGGCTCAGTCAGTTAAGCATCTGCCTTCTGCTCAGGTCATGATCTCAGGGTCCTAGGATCAAGCTCCTCCTGTCTTTCCCTTCTGCCCCCACCCCATGCTCTGTCTCTCTCTCTCTCTCTCTCTCAAACAAATAAAATCTTTAAAAAAAGAAAAAAGCTAAATAAATAAATAAAAGGTTGCTAATAACATCTTCCATAAACAACTAATCATGATATACTAATACTGTGAAACACTAATCAGCAATTAAAAAAAACAATATAGGGGCACCTGAGTGGCTTAGTCGGTTAAGTGACCAACTCTTGATTTCAGCTCAGGTCATGATCTCAGGGTCGTGGGATCAAGCCCCATGTCAGGCTCCATGCTCAGCAGGTAGTCTGTTTCTCTCTCTCTCATTCTTCTGCTCCTCCTCCTGTTCACTCTCTCTCTGTCAAATAAATACATTTCAAAAAAAAAAAAAGATTTAGTAAAAAAAAGAACAACATAGATCATTATGCACTAACTTAGCAAATGGGCTCACAACATATGATTAAGCAAAAATAGCAGATCCCTGTTAGGGCTCCACGTTTCTTTATCTTCAGTGTCTATTTGTACATTTTTTTGTTTGTATTAACAAAGGAAACAGCAGTTTACAGTGGTTACATTACAGAATAAGATTAGAAAGATAAAGGGAGGGACTATCAATTTCACTTTCAACTTTTTGGGTTGGTACAGTAAGCAGGTATTATGATCACACTTCAGGCAACTAAAAAAAGAATGGAGGAAAAAAGAGAAAAATGAAGCTGTAATAAAAAGTCAAAAATCAATGACTGCATAGATACCTTTCTCAGGGCACACACAAAAACTGCTCATTAGTTACATATGAAAATGTTTCCAAAATATGTCTAATAATGTGAAGTAATTCTTATATACAAATTATAGAGTTCTTTAAAAAGTTTAGTGCTGAGTTAAATCCCTTTATGCTCACTACATCTATCAGCAAAGGGCTACATATCACCATGGTACAACGGAAATGGGGAACGTTTGCTGCCAAAAGTTGGAAATGTAGTCAGGTTTTCTCTCCCTAAGAGGAAAAAGAAAAATTTAATTTTCTGAACATTTATAACAGGCCTTGGGGTAAATTCTAAAATGCAGCCTAGAGTAGAGGAAGAAACATATCATAGTGGATGGAGGCACAGCGCACAGCAGTCTCTCTCTGCAGGATGAGAGGTATGGGAAAAGGATGCCTCAAGAACAAAAGAGCTAGGATCTGGTCAGAATCTAAGAAGCAGAAATCAGAAGCTATCCAAAAGCATCGTCAATATTTCTTTTCTCACTACTTCTAAGAAGTAAAGTTTTTCACATTTTAATACCTCTAAAATTGGAACGAGTCTAACGTTCAGGAGCCTGTTGCAGTCACTGCCGGGCAGGTGATCGTTGTGATGCAGTTGTCGTGCCTTGATTCTACATATTCACATTGCCACCATTTCCACGGAGTTTTATGTATTTTTGGTGTTGAGATTAATTGCCATTTAAAATATCTTCTGTAGGATTACACTATGATTTGCATCGAAGGAGAAATCACTACATATGCAGAAATATACAGAAATAAAGCAGTGGGGAATCAATTTGATTTAGGGAAGCAAATATTCATCATATCAGGAAGGACTAGAGCCCCTTATTTTCCCAAGAAACAATAACCATGTGTTTTACAGAACCTAAGAAGAGAAAATACCAGAAGCAAGTGAAGCTGTATTAGGTTTTGTTATTAAGATGCATACAAAAGGGATTAGCTATCACATGCCAAGCAGAGGAACTGAAAATAAAAGAAATTGCTAAATCCCTTGTCATGAACGAAAGGCAGTAAGTGGCTGATGTGACTGATGCATGCCTCACACAGGACTACCTTTAAGACATTCTGTCAGTTTAGTCAAAACCATTTTTTTCCCTTAGGAGACCTAGTCTAATAGGGCATCTTTTGATCAATGACTTCATAGATTTAATGAAATAAGGATAAACTATCTTTTTCAATATTGAAGATTATAAATAAAACCTATTGACGTCCTGATAGGAAGGAAGGAAGGAAGGAAGGAAGGACGGAAGGAAGGAAGCCAAAAACAATAGTCTAGGCTGGTAGAAATAAAGAGCGGCAGCCCATAACTAAAGAAAAAGAGAGGCAGGCATACGGGCATTGGAGTCTCTCAAGTTTATTTTTTAAAAAAAGAGGGGGGCAAAAAGTTTTGAGAAGCACTGATTTAGGATAACCTGCATTCTATTTGTAGCTCTTCTATTTATGTTTTACATGTTCCTGGGAAAGTCGCTGAATCTTTCTCAGCCTGTTTCTTCCTCTTACAAAACAGGTACTATTGACACTTGAACAATACAAGCTTGAATGGCACTGGACCACTTACACAAGGGTATTTTTCGATAAATTCTATAGAGCACGGACAATGTATTTTCTTTTCCTTATGTTTTTCTTAATAACATTTTCTTTTCTCTAGCTTACTTTAAGATTATACTACGTAATACATATAATATGTGTTATTTGACTGTTATGTGTTAATTGACTGTTTATGTTGTCAGTGAGGTTTCCAGTCACTGTAAGTTACTAGTTATTAAGTTTCAGGGGGAATCAAAAGTTATACATGGATTTTTAGCTGTACAGGGGTTGAACTCCCAACCCCCACATTGTTCAAACGTCAACTATAATAATACTTGCATCAGAGACTTGTAAGGATCGAAAGGGGAGCACAAAGACATAGCCAATCAGGCATGTGGCTTATACATGCTTATTAAATGCTAGTCCCTGTGTTTTCCCAAAGGAGGCTGCCATTTTAAGTGACCTCGTTTGGGAGATCTATGTCATCGGCCTATCAGAAGCATGAGTTGTTAAAACTCTAACCTTGAAATATCAGGATTTAGCATTCAAAAATTGGATAGTGAGTTGATTTGAATAATATCTTAATTTGATATGATGCCTCTTTTCTGTTGTGTTTTAATCTTAAATATATTCCTGAACATAATTCTTCTCTTAGAAGCTGCCACCAGCTGAGAAATAGTCACCCTCACCCGCTGTTTCTTCTGAAGAAAGAAACTCAGATGCAGCCCGGGGAAAAGACCTCCTCTGTCAGAAGTGATAAATCAGAGTGTATTTTTTCATTGATATCTAAATTTTTATCTCTAATCATAACTCAGAAAAGAGTTTGGGAGGCAAAATCAAACCAAGAAAAAGTTTACTTTTATAAATATGAGGGGGAGAGATTAATCTCCAGGAAAATTAGAGAACATCCTTGTTCTGCCTGAATCCTTTTAGTCTGTGTTTAATTTCAACCATCACCAGAGGTGTTCATCACATAAATGTCAAATGTAAAACAGATAAAATGTCACAACAATACAATAAATTGGTTACTTTAAAGAACATAAAGTCATACAGTTTCTAGCAGTTTTCCAATTGTCCAGATAAATGACTGAACTCTCCTCCAAATTTTTATTGCAGAGGTACACCTATATAGTATTTTGGGCAGGCACATGAGTCTCTCTAGGGACCTGAAGAGAGTATTGCTTCCATTCTCCTGCTTCCATTCTCTCTTAAGCTTCATTCACCAGGATTATTACAAACAGGAAATGGTCATGCAAGGATGAGCTTCTCCCTCTTTCAAGCACTAGACTAAGAATGATTAATAGAAAAGAGAGAGATCCTATACTTTGGTTCCGCTTAAAATCACTAAAGCACACTACTTTAAAGAAACTTTACAAAAGAAAATTAGGGGAAAGAAAATGGAAATAAATACAGAGTCAAAAAAGAAGAAAGCGCATTTCCTTTCTACTTAAGTTTACAGACATAAATTGACTACTATGTCCTGTATGCACTTTGCCAAAAGCTTAGAACCTAGAGGGGAAAGCAGATATGTGAACAAGTTGTTTTTTTTTTTTTTTTTTTTTAAGATTTTTTTATTTATTTATTTGAGAGAGAGACAGTGGGAGAGAGCATGAGCGAGGAGAAGGTCAGAGGGAGAAGCAGACTCCCCATGGAGCTGGGAGCCCGATGCGGGACTCGATCCCGGGACTCCGGGATCATGACCTGAGCTGAAGGCAGTCATCCAACCAACTGAGCCACCCAGGCGTCCCGTGAACAAGTTTTTAACATCTAATATTGTCAGTGCTGAAACAGATGTGTGATCGTTATACTCCTCTATACACATGCTTCAAGATTCTTTGGCCTACTTAATTCCATATTCTAACTTGAGACTGATATTTTAATTCAAAGGATTACAAAATTTGCAGGAACTTGACTCGCTCCATCACTTCCTGAATCCCAGTCCACCTCCATATTGTGACTATTATTGATGTACAACATCAACAATCCCACTCCTAGATACCTACTTCATTGCAGTCAAACTAAAGGTTGTATTTTTATTCTAACTGTCTCCTTAATTCATGGAGAGGAGGTAGACTATAACAAATAAGAATACAGACCTGGGGGGTGCCTGGGTGGCTCTGTTGGTTGGGTGACTGACTTCGGCTCAGGTCATGATCCCGGAGTCCTGGGAATGAGTCCCACATCGGGATCCTGGCTGCATGGGGAGTCTGCTTCTACCTCTGACCTTCTCCCCTCTCATGGTCTCTCTCTCTCTCAAATAAATAAATAAGATCTTAAAAAAAAAAAAAAAAGAATACAGACCTGGGATAAAATCCAGTTTTCAACACTTAACAGTCTGACCCCAGGCAAATTATCTCACTTCTCTAAAACTCAGTTTTATCCTTTGCAAATGGGGCTAATAATACTCATCCTTTAAGTTTATATGTAAGAATTAAATGAGATATTAAATAAAAATGATTCACAGAGTATAGTACAAGATAAGCTTTCAATAAAAGTTTGCAATTTACTATTATGTTACTTTTCCACAGTTAACTAATCCAAAAACAAGCTCATCACATAGGTTAGATCTTGTTCCACCTTCTCAGAGAGTGGAATAATCTTTGGTATAGTGCAATA